AGTGTCGTGGAGAAGGTCTTCAGTTTCAGCTTTCGATATCGAGGTGGCTGTTTCTTGATCGCCACCCCAAAACCTACGAGGCCGTTTCGTGCTGAACTACTGACCGCAACTTGCAGTGATCCGCCCGGTACGGTGTGCGAGTGCGGCATTGCTTCAACATCGCTCTGTATGCGAGTCTCCCAGGGTGCCAACACGAACGCATTGATGGTTTCCAGCGTCTCCATCTCAATGTTTTTCAGCGCGTCCGCTACTTGGTACAGCGGCGACCGGTGGTATCTCCTGAACTTCTTCATGCAGGCTGTACTCCTGCGTAGCGGGTGGGTTTCTGGAAGGGTGTGAATTTCCGTCCACATTTTCACGGCCCGTCTCCAAAAACGGTGTTGTGCGGTGGCAATATGAGCCTCGGCCTCCGCTACGCTGGTCGCAACGGTGAGAAATGTCCCGACAATTGCTTGCGCTCCTACCCTTTGGACTCGATTGATCGGTCCGCTGGCCTTGTCCTTGCAGGCGTGCATCCAGACACTAGAAGCATAGTCTACCGCTGGAGCCACTGTTGATGTGAACAGCTGTCTTGCGGTTGCTGGTGTTAGGCCGCGAAGTCGTCGAAGCTCCATCGCTGCCTCCAGGCCTTTAGATGCCGCCCTCGCGATATGTTCCTTGTACTTGAGTCTTGTGTCCATGAGAACGCCCAGGATCTTAACATGATCTCTAGGCATAACGGGCTGTCCCTTGATAGTGAAAGGCTCCTGGTCCGTTTTGTGGACTTTGGGAGCGAAGTGTACGATGGCAGTTTTGTCCGCCTCAAAAGTTGCTCCGCTCCTTTTCTCCCAGTCGAGTGCGTCGTTGATAATTGTTTCAATACCTTCCCGATTACTCTGTGCCGTTGGTCCGGTCACCCACGCGGTAAAATCGTCCACAAACGCGATTACTCCGCCCTGGCTGTCGATCTGTCGTTGCACGAGGTCTGCGTTGAAGAAGAGGAACAGGATCGGGGACAGCGGCGAGCCCTGCGGCAGTCCAGCCTGTGGCAGGCTTTGGACCTCAGACAATTGGCCATTGATTTGGATGGTTGCTGTTCGTTCCGAGCAGAACGCCTCAACCCACCGGAGCAGATCCTCCGGTATGCCTCGCGCTTTCATCCTCTGAAGCAACCGTTCTTTGCACACTCCATTGTAGGCTCCCTTGACATCGAAGCTGATCAAGCTCAATACCCGTCGGCCGCGCCACGCCGTGTAGATTTGCTCTTGCAGAAACACGAGTGCTTGCTCCGCGGACCGCTGCTTTCGGGCTCCGAAGTGGCTGGTCGGGAGCAAGCCGTACGTTTCCACCGCGTGTGAGATCCTTTCCGCAACCACTGATTCCAGTATCTTGCCCAGCGTCGCGAGGAGAGAAATTGGTCTCCATGCTTTGGCAATACTGTAATTTTCTTTATTTGGCTTTTTGAGCGGTATGATCTTCGCGTGTCTCCACTGCCTTGGCAACGTGCCTCCTTCCAGTGAGGCTTGGAAGAGATCAAGAACCCTGTCCTTGACCGTGGGCCACGTCATCTTCCAGACTATCACCGGCAGGCCGTCTTCGCCCGGTGCTTTCCAAGACTTCGCCGCCAACAGTTGCCGCTCTACCTCCTCCATCGTGATAGCTGGCATTTCTACCGGTGCTCTCTCTGGCCTCGTCCCTTCATCGTCAATAATGTCCGGCAGAGGCGGGAAGAAGGTGGTCAGCAATTCTTCTGCTTGCTCCTTGCGATCGGTGGTGGTCGATCCGTCTGCTCTCAGGAGCTGCGGGACCTTTCCAAACGCTGCGTCATCTCCCGACTTCAGGTATTTTGCGGCTTTCCATATGTTATCGTTGTCTGCGAGGAATTCATTCCAGTGCTTTTTCTTTTGTTGCCGGATAGCATCGTGGTATTGCTTCGCTGCGCCTTGGGCCATCTCTTCTAGATGGGGTACCTTTCGTCCCGCCCGTCGCTCCGAGCGGGCGTGATTTCTCCAGTATGTGTATATTTGACGGAGCTGTGTCAAGTCATCTGTCCACCACCGCTTTGCGTGTGGTGACGGTCTAGCCTTCGGGGTCAAGGCATGCACCGCTTCCCAGACCGCGGACATGAGTCGATCGGTTTTCTGCTGCACGGTGCCCTCCAACGGAGTGGCGGCTAGGGTGTTCGCAATCCTAACATTGATCTCTTTCCATGGAGCGTTTTTCAGCAGGAGTCGTTCCGGATGCTTTGGGGGCGACCATGAGGCATCGAATACGGTCTCAATGGCGCAGTGATCCGAACCATGCTCTGTCCCAGGTATGGCACATTTAACCATGGACTCTGTTAGGTCTGCCGAGGCCAGGACGAGGTCGATCGTGGACTCGCAGTCCCCATTCTGTCCTGCGCCATGCCATGTCTTTGTTCCTCGTTTGAGTAGACTGCTGAGTGCAAATTCATTCATGAAGTCGACGATTGGGTCCGCTTCACCTTGCCTTACCAAGGACACGTCGTCTCCTCCCCAGAGTTGATCATGACGGTTAAAATCTCCCACAATTATGATCTCCAACGCTGTGCCTGCGTCCCGTCGTACCTCTGTGATCGCTTTGCGTAGATGATCGCATGTTTCGAGCAATGCCGCGACATCTCCTCCCTCTACGTAGACTGATGCCATAAATATCAGGCGCTCGGGGAGGCGGATGACCGCCGCGGTCAGATCCGGCGAGTCGATAGACACTTGCTCCGCTTCCACATCCCTATTAATCCAAAGCATACTTCGGATCGCCCATCGGCCTTCCCTCCAGGTGGAGGGAACCAGTTTCGTCCATTTGTGATGTCCCATCGGGGTGGTCAATAGCCGGCCTTGGATTCGCCTCGCTTGGGGTTCTTGAATCGCTAGTGCTACTGCCCCCTGGGTCTCTTCGTCGTTCATCAAGCTGTCATGTACCGCGCCCTGTTTCCTCACATTCAGTTGGATTATTCGGAGGGTTTTATTCATGACGTGGCGGATAGAGTTTCCGGCAATTTTTGCTGTACGATTCATGTGGGCCTCCGCATGGAACGCACTTTAGAACCGTTTGGTCGCAGTTACTATGGCGATGGCCCTCCGTGGCGCATTTTGCGCACTTCTGGACGTTCTTACACTGGAACGCCTTGTGGCCAATCTCCTGGCAGTTGTAGCATTGCGTCGGTCGTGGTCGATATTCGAAGGTGCTGGTCACGCCAGACTCTCCTCCAGCGTGAAAGAACCCGTCGGCCAGGAGCCTCCGTGCGTCAGTGCCTTTGGTAAGGTAAACGACCATTGATCCATAGGCCTTCGCACTCTCCTTGCTACTGAGCCATGCGATCTTAGCCACGGTAGCTTCGTTCTCCTCGCTGAAGGCTGCCGCAGCTCCGGCTCGGATCTCATCATCTTCATCTAGCACTGCGGCTTTGTTGACGCTATCGACTTTGATCGGGTAGAGCTCGTCCCGAAGAACCCGGGCTCCCGCACCGATCTTTGCTTCCGCCACTTTCTTGACTAACTGGTGTTCGGCTTCATCGCGACACGCTATTCTGATCCGGTTCGTGTTCTTCGGGTCTACAGTGACGGCGCGACACCGCCAGTGTATGTGGTCTTCCATCTTCCGGATCTCTGTCTCGATCGTTGCCCGGATTGGGCCTGCGGACATCCTCTCGTTTCCATTTTCTGTCATCCTCGAGGTGTCAATTGTGCAATACAATGTGTCGGTGAACGTGGTCGGTGTTGTGTTTAACGTTGAGAGCGTCCGTATGTTACTAGGGTGACTAAGTGGAGGAGTACGGGCGACATCTGCATAGGACGGGGAACCAGTAGGAATGGAAGGGCTGATAGCATCGCGCAGGGATTGAATCTCGCGGAGGATCTCATCGTGGTTGTTCTGAGCGCATGTCTCGGCGTGGGATTGCGGTGTCAGGGGCCTATCCGTCAGGGTCTGTAGCTCGTGTCGAACTTCGGCAAGGGCGGCGCTGAATTCATCTTTAACCTTTTGAAGCTCTTCCTTGTGTAATTCATCGCGTCGCCTGATCTCTCGCCTGAGTTTAATGAGTTCTTTCACGAGTGTGGCGGTGTTGAGGTCCTCACTCTCTGTCGCGGAGTCATCCGAAGTGACCGCGTCACGTTGAGTTGCTGGCTTGTCTTGCGTTTTCTTCCTCAGTTGAGAGCGTGTCGCTCTCTGGCCATTGTCGATCTCTTGATCCCGAGCATAGTTACTCGGTGGTCTGGTAGTGCGTCTCGGCCTCGATAATCTTGGCGGTGACTCTTCGTGTTCGTCGCGGTCGGGCGGTTCAGGGGTTCGCGTTGCGGTCCGTCCCGCCATTATGCACAATCGATTCCGTCGCCACGTGGCACCGGTTTCGTATCTCCAAGTCGATCAACAAGTCGGTCGGTTCGCTAGACTTTCTGTCTCAGATGGATCGGCCACCTAGACAGGTACCGATGATGATACAGTCGGTCGTTCTGGTACGGTACAGTAGTTTTCGAAATCAGTTATACCTCCACACTCTTGCGACTTCATTCCCGGAAAATAGTTCCGATAAGTATAAGCTCTGATTGGACGAGCTATTTTAAGCATCGTTTCAGACCGCTTTCTATAATAGTCGCTGTATTTTATAATACAATTAGCAGACAGCGAGGGATGTATTTTATACGAAACTCTCATACAATACAGCAGCAAGCAACAGTCACGCCTCGGTGATAAGACATTGAAAGCCTAGGTCAGAAAGGCGTACGATGTATGTATATGGCCTTCTAATCTATTATGTTGAATTCCACGGTTGCCTGAGAGTGAAATTTTGAACTAGATATGTGATAATGGGTTGAGTGACATCATTAAAATGGAAAGATAATTTTGACAATACTATAAACACAACAAATTTTTCATTTCTTAGCTCCAGCCTGCGAAGGCATGCCGACTATCTTGGTAAACTTGCTTAGGCGACGAGGTTTGATTCAGAGATATGAGGTCTGGTCCGCGGAACTTATCTGATTCGCGTCATCCAGCCTACTTTAGTCACTGTAGAGTTTTCTGAGATTGTTGCGGGTCTGGACGGTTGACGTGTCGTCCGATCCCAGCACTTTCTCTTTCCCAATTAGCGCCCGCAGGTACATCTTCTCCGCCTTATCCAACTTTTTCTGAGATGCATACAGTATCCCAAGATTGTGGAAACTATCAAGGGTTGATGCGTTGTTCGATCCTAGCACTTTCTCTCTCCCAGCTAGCACCCGCATATACATCTCCTCCGCCTTGTCTAGCTCCCGTTGGTGATGATATAGAATCCCGAGATTGTTAACAGTATCCAGGGTTGATGTGTGCTCAGGTCCCAGCGCTTTCTCACGTCCAACTAGCTCCCGCAGGTACATCTGTTCCGCCTTATCAAACCTGTTCTGGGTTGCATATACGGTCGCGAGACCGCGAACAGCGTCGAGGGTTGATGTGTGATCTGGTCCTAGCATTTTCTCTTTCCCAGCTAGCGCCCGGGTATGCATCTTCTCTGCCTTGTCCAGATTACCTTGGTCAAAATATACGCTCCCGAGATGACCGACAGAGGTGAGGGTTAATATGTGGTCCTGACCTAGGGCTCTCTCTCTCCCGGTTAGTACCCGTATGTGCATCTGCTCGGCCTTATCCAGCTTGCCCTGGTGAGAATATAGGTGCCCCAAATTGTTGATAATACCACGAGTTGTTTCATGTTCCGGTCCCAGCGCTTTCTCGAACCCAGCTAGCGCGCGCACATACATCTGCTCTGCCTTATCCAGCTTGCCCTGCTCACGATGAAGGATTCCGAACTTATTGAGAGCGACGAGGGTCAAATTATGGCTTGGTCCCAGCGTTTTCTCATACCCAGCTACAGCCCGCGTGTGCATCTTCTCTGCCTTATCCATTTTGCCTTGGCGACGATATAGGTCCCCGAGATCGCTAATAGTGCCAAGAGTTGATGTGTGGTCCGGTCCTAGCGCTTTCTCGAATCCAGCTAGCGCGCGCACGTACATCTGCTCTGCCTTATCCAGCTTGCTCTGCTCACGATAAAGGATTCCCAACTTGTTGAGAGCGACGAGGGTCAAATTATGGCTTGGTCCCAGCGTTTTCTCATACCCAGCTACAGCCCGCGTGTGCATCTTCTCTGCCTTATCCATTTTGCCTTGGCGACGATATAGGTCCCCGAGATCGCTAATAGTGCCAAGAGTTGATGTGTGGTCCGGTCCCAGCGCTTTCTCATACCCAGCTAGCACCCGCATATGCATCTGCTCAGCTTTATCTGGCTTGCGTTGGCGATGATATAGGTCACCGAGAAAGCTAACAGTAGCGAGGGTTGACTGGTGGTCTGGCCCCAGCGCTTTCTCATACCCAGCTAGTGCCCGCATGCCCATCTTCTCTGCCTTGTCCAGCTTCCCTTGGCGACAATATAGGACCCCGAGATGGTTGACATCGTCGAGGGTTGATGTGTGGTCCTGTCCTAGAGCTTTCTCTCTGACAGCTAACGCCCGCATGTACATTTTCTCTGCCTTGTCCAGCTTGCCTTGGTCTTTGTATAGGCGCCCAAGATTTCTAACAGCATCAAGGGTTAACGTGTGGTGCGGTCCCAGCGCTTTCTCATACCCAGCTAGCACCCGCATATGCATCTGCTCAGCTTTATCTGGCTTGCGTTGGCGATGATATAGGTCACCGAGAAAGCTAACAGTAGCGAGGGTTGACTGGTGGTCTGGCCCCAGCGCTTTCTCATACCCAGCTAGTGCCCGCATGCCCATCTTCTCTGTCTTATCTAGCTCGCCTTGGTGAAAATATAAGAACCCGAGATGGCTGACAACGTTGAGGGTTGATATGTGGTCCTGTCCTAGCGCTTTCTCCCTCCCAGCGAGCGCGCGCACGTACATCTGCTCCGCCTTGTCCAGCTTATCTAGGTCCTTGTATAGGCTCCCGAGATTGCAGACAGCGATGAGGGTTGACGTGTGGTGTGGTCCCAGCGCTTTTTCATACCCAGCTAACACACGCGTTTGCATCTGCTCCGCCTTGACCAGCTGAAATTGCTCTCGAAATAGTCGTGACATCTTTGATACCTTATCTAGTTGATCATCTAGTTGATCATCTAGTTGATCATCTAGTTGATCAGGCTGAGAATCGGAAATCAGGTCGTTCTCGAGGAAACGCTGTTCCGCTAGCCGTCCTGCATGACGAGCGACACGAGAGAAGGAAGTATGCCTAAGCGAATCCTCAGGAGCTCCCGTGATGCACGCAACAACACAGTCAACAGCATACCAGTAATGGCTTACATCGATATGCTTATTAAGTGCTGCTAATGTCCAGTCGTGTACACAGTTATGCATGCTCCACGATCCTGACGTCCAGTCAATCTCTAGAAAGTAGTATTGGGTCAAGATGGCCATCGCTCCACGGAAGGTCACGTCGCTTGAAACCACTTCACGAAGCCACTCAGGAGAATTATCTCCAAGTCCACCGTGAAATAGCTCGTACCAGAGGCTTTGATTATCAAAGTAGGCCAGCATTCTCAGCAAGTTTGCCGCGTCGGGATCTTCAGTTGCAAGACGAGCGTATGATAGATCCCAGGTCGTGTACAGTGTATGCTCGCGATACTCATGGAGCGGGACGGTGCGGTTGGGATCAATATTCCAACGAGCCTCGTACTCATACAAATAGCGCTCAAAAGAAAGACCTGTTAGTTGGATATAAGTACCAGCGGCGGCCAAAGCAAGAGGGAAACCGTCTAGTCGCTCGGCAAGGCGCTTCGCAGAAGGGTCTAATGTTTATGGTTAGTTTGTCGTTCCCCAAGGGTATGTTTGTTTGCAGTATACCTGATTGCAAATTTTCTCTCTTAGATCGAGTTTGCAGAACGGCCAGGCCATCTGCAATGCCCTGCAAAGGCTTTATTTGCAGAGTATTCCCAGCAAGATCTAGCCGTCGGGTGGTGACTATGATCGTCCCATGAGAAGCGGGTGGGAGATAGTCGTCGATATCAAATTGGCTGGGGTCATCATAGTTGTCAAAGATCAAAAGCCATCTCGTATTTCTTGAATCAGATAGCCACCGATGTACACGTCCAACAATCGCACTACTTTCCAAGACCTCGGGGTCCTGTACGGGAAAGATGAGTGAGGCGATTGATCGAAAGCTGTCTTTCAGTGCTGCTTCAGATACTGTATTCAGCCAAAAAACCGAGTTGTAAGATCCACGATGAGACTCTGCATAAGCAATGGCAAGCTGGGTCTTGCCGATACCACCCATACCGCCGAGAAATAGGCGCTGTTGGATTCGAGGGGTGTTAAGAGGCTGCAAGATTCGTGCCATTTCATGCAGCTCGGAGCTCCGACCGACGAAGAGTTCTGGAGCAATACGAGGCGCTTGACCCAGATTGATACCAATGGGCCCGCGAAAACTGAAGTCTTCCTTGTGCCTAAGAGTGACTAGCGACAATCATTAGTGGAACTGATTCACTAAGCCTTGAATGCGCGTATGAATTCATTGAAAGAGAATACGACCAATCTGACAGGCGGAGGTGGCGTGTGGGAGATAACAAGTCGGGATGTGGAAATTATTTGTTAAGATAAAATAACCATTTAGCCCCAAGGCTCTGGTAATATCGTAATAGCCCCTTTGTGGGTTGTATGAAATAAATGCATCGTCATCTAATGCAAAGAGAAGATTCCGTCATGCCGGCTCCTTACCGGAATTGAAATGCTGGGTTCCAACATGCGCATTATTGTTGATCTGCTGCCCACTGCCGCTGTTCACATTGTTTGTTTGTGCCCCCCCGCCGCTATTGAAAGTCATCGTAGAGCTTTCTTCAGTGGGCACTAAAGAATCGACTGATTTCATCTCTTTGACAATAGTTTCTAGCTCAAGATTTTGTTGTGCATTCGCAGACTGGACCGCGTGATGGTTGACAATGAGTTGAACGTCTTCCGCAATTGATCCCATAAGCTCCTCGACCTTGTTGCCTTTGCCAAGTCTGCGGAGGACCTTCAAATACCGTTTCTCCCATGTATCACCTTCACCAGGTATACCCTTCTCAAAGATGCCTCTCAAACTTGAAGCCTTTGCATCGCAAGCGTCAAGGATATTTTCCAAGGCTTCGCAAACATCTCCAGGTATTACATCTTTTCTCGAACCTAGATGCTTTTTGCAGGTCTCAAGGGTATGGAGAAGGACCGGGAGCCGGCGTCGAATAACTTCAAATGTTGCGGACAACTTGATGTCATCCTGCGCACTGTCGTAGATCTTGATTGAGGCATCGAGGAGAGATATGACCGCAGAGATACCGCCGATAACTTCTAGGCCGGACATTATGAGAGGAGTGATGAAGGAATATTGCAGCCGAACCGAATCCGAAGCGTGGGATGCGAGACGCCAGGTTATTAATAGTGGGAAAGGAGGGGTATTGAGGCGGTGCAGTCCACCCAGTAGGCCCGGGGCTGATATATTTCACTGCGTACACGTGTCAAAAATCTATTTATCGGCATCCGCCTTAGTTCGCCTTTCGTGAACCCTGCAAGCACCAATTATCTAGAAAGCGGCGATGGCCGGCAAAATGTGCCAAAAAAGAAATATTGTGAGCAATACTGAGGTGGAATCTACAGGGCAGGGTAAGTGGCCTGTGAATCAGGTGAGAACTGGGACTCATATTTCTGGGCGTGCTGTAATGACAGACTTATGGTGAGTGACTATTAGTGAGGCGTACGCCATCGGCCGTCGTTAAGGCTAATGTTCGCCTGCAAACACAACCGAAAACTGGCCGACACACTTGTTTGCCGACGGTACCATTCCGTTTGAGGTTCTTGAGCCAAAGAGACACCCCTCAGAAGTGATGATCGGCGCATGCTGCACAGGATGAGAAGGCGAATCGAATTGGAAAGCGGAGGTCGTGAGGTTGATGTTGGGAAATTTGTCAGAAGGCGGGGTTGGGCTGAGGCTCCACACCTGGGTTGCCAACTGAGTGCATGTGCGCTTGGCATTATTACGTGTACTGCGTATATCATGGAAGAACCAAGAGTAACTGTGGCTTCCGTCCGCCCACAGTGGCTCCATCCTGCTGGCATTACTCTTGCTTCGCCCTACCAAAGTCATATTAAGAATGGATCTTGCTCAAGCTGGCCCGGTCCGCTCTTAGGCTTCCTCAGATCTAACATAGAATTCCATAGAATTCGAAGGGCTTCTTGTCATACGCATAATGTAATTCTATGTCATATGTTACTGTAACATACACGGCGTATTTTACCCCCCCAAGTTCAATGTGACCAGGTCAATAAATGATCTGCGCTGAGGCCTTGGCAGTGGGGCCAGGAAAGAGAGTCTCAGTGTGTACTGGTCAAGGCGATTTCGAGAATCACTGTATAGGTCGTTCCTTTTCTTCAATGCAAAGGATCTTCTTCACTTAGCCACGTGGAGCCAGCCACTCATCATATAGGCATCTCCGTCTCGTCGCTGTCCAGCGACGATGCAGGCGTTCAGATAAATTCATTCTACGACAAGTATACAAGTAAGACGTGAGGAGGTGTACAATCTGCTAAATAACTGTATAGAGTTACTCTCGGTAATAAAATCGATAGTTTCAAAGCCCGAAACGCCGTGGTACTTCAATAACCAACTATCTTGTCTAAAGAATCTTATAAATAGGCACTACTGTCTTCACCTACTTAACCCACTTCCCGATGTTGTCTACAAAGCGACGTGCGATGCCAATTTTGATCCCTCTTTTAATGAAGAAATTTGGGTCTCGGTCCTTGTACACTTGCTCGAGGTCAAGGCCGTTCTCGAGCATCACTTCGTACGTTTGTCGGAATGCGGCTTTGAGGGCATCCCTATCGACGGTCGACACTAGCCAGTCAGTGTACTCCTCTACGGCTCTGTCGGTGGAACCCGGGATCTCGAGGGGACTTAGAGCCGTTAAGTCCACCGCCGTTTTAGAAGTAGAAACATCAATCCTATGGACGGCAGACGTTAAGGGCAGGACATTAATATTGATACTGTAGGAGGATACGGTATTCCAGTTCTATCGATGTGACCTCCTTTGCGCTTACCTTTACTGAGTCTCTCTTACTCTTCCCTATATAATTCGTCGCGTACGGCTTCCGGCACGTCCTTATGACCTTCTAAAACCCTACCCTTCTTAACGTGAGTGATAAGGCGCTTTATATAGTGTGATTTAATTGGACAGTGTTTCTTCCCTATTAGGTCCACCCAATAATGAGGGCTATACTAATATGATACCGAGTCATAACGCATTAAATTATAGACGCTACGCCAAATTGGCTTCTCGCTAGAAGCGTTTTCCTCTATATTAAGTTATGTATCCCGTTCGCTAAGCATCCTTTTTGTAACAGATGACTTTCCTCTTTTCTCCCCTTTCCGGCTAGCGGTGGGAGAAGTGTAGCGATCGTCTACGTAGTTGAAACTGATCTTAAGCGTGAGCTCTTTACCCCGAAACAAAATATTAGACTATATTAAAAGCTGTTTCTCGATAGTGGTCTAAATAATGTCGGTATCGTTAAATCGTTTTGTCAGTTTACGTTTAGTACGATCACTTATTAGTATAGTTATGATAGTATCATTAGCTGTTACCCGGCGGTGGCGAATAGTCTTCCGTCGAAGGACGTTCTCGAGCTTTTTCTCTAAGGATAATTGCCAGAAGGAGCTAGGGGCTAAAGTAAGGTCTTCCTCCGTGTCTTATGACACCTCTCGGTTATTGATAGTCACTCGCCACTCTATATAGTAGTGGATATAGGTTGGCGTGTCCTCCTAGTAGGCTTTTCCTTCTTCCTACTTAGATAGCTGAATAAATCGGAGAGACTTGGGGCTAGGTCTACTTGTTCGCTCGATTTAAGTCTTAACGACGCTAGACGGAGAGGGGCTTGAGATAGACCGCGTGGCGTAGGGGCTGCCGAAGTAACCGGGTGTTGGAGCGTATTCCTATAGTTCAGGCTCACCGATATGATACGGGCTCTGTATTATCTCTAATAAGCATTCGCAATCCTTAGATCAAACACATTAGCTATCACTAGGACCACGTTTTTAGAGCGTGCTGGCAGCGAATGAAAACTCGCGAATAGGTGATACAGGCCATAAAAATAGAGATGTATCTTTGCCTACTAGGGTTAGCTCTCTATAGCATAAGCGTAGGCTTCTCAGTTATGACTGGCGGGTGCAAAACGAGGCTGCGTCGGATACGGGAAGAACGAGGGGCAAGAACGAGTGGGACAGACGGGAAGGCAGTGAGTAAGCTGGACGATCATGCCAGATCGCCATTGCTCCCTAAAGACTCGATGTGGTTCCATGGAACTGTACCGTATTATTACGATGACTCATATGCTATGTAAGGCCATTACTACAATTGTTTTGCCAAACTTATCGAGAGGTAAGCTAAATAGGGTTAGCGTATTTCGGATTTATCTTCCGGGAATGAAGTTCGCCAGAGTGTGCAGGTATAACTGATTTCGAAAACTACTGTAATACCCCTGTCAAGTACCACTCAATCCCCCGAACAGTGACATTCATAAATGAACTCCATCAAACAAACTTAGCGTTAATGCCTTGGCAGTGGGGCCCTGGCGAAGAAAGGCAGTGTGGAGGGAGGCAGCCGTTTTCGCTGCCGGCTGTATCATCATGCCTCCACCCAATCCACCCTCACAAGGAGCAGGCATCTTGTCACTGTGCAAGCTTACCCCCTTTACCATGTCATATACCGCGGGTATAGACTCCGATAACTCCAGTAGTTAGAGGTACATATACAGACATCCTATTATATTCCCTAATTTACCTCAAGGAAATATTGGTATCCATGTAGGTTGGAGCCTCTTAAACAAAGCCAACCATCGCCGTGGATCACGTCGAAACATTTCAACAAACCGAGAATAGGCTCCCATTCGTCCTGACTAATGTCAGCTTTCAATCGGTGAATATGGCAGCAGACTGTAGACATGATTACACTCGCGGTGTCGGTATATAGTTAATTTCAATTTGCATGCACAACGCACATTTTAGACATTCATGAATTCCAACCCACCTTCTTAACAGACGCATCTGCGATAAGACTGTGTGGCCACAAACGATTTGAAGAATGCTAACACGTGCCTTTATCTAGTTTCCCTCCCATTTACCTAATTACTGTCTAGTAGCCGTCGCTTTTTGCCCCTTAGGTGACATCGAACAGTCGATGCGGCTGCGTCGACCTGCAGTTGGTCAATCCTAGCTTGCATGACCTCAATTATCTTTTTCAAAAACAAGACCTCGGATTCCTTCTTTATACATAACCCTTCATCGTTAACGATACCTAGGTTTCTGTCTGTGACCGGACCAGTGATATTGACCTCCGTCGACCTATATAATATATCAGCGTGATTCACCTCGGATTTTGGTAGGCTCAAATTCCGATACCTTCTTTCGTGCAAGTTCCCACAGCCAGAATCGTGATTAGGCTGGATAAACCTATCACATCTTGTAGTGCGACCATTCAGCTTTGGTGTGGGTTCATAGATATTCTCTTGTCCACGAGAAGAAGAGGCCATTGATTGCCGACCAGACTCTGAGAAGTGCTGGAGCAGCCACGCTCCGTATTCATCTGAAGAAGAAAGCGGTATATATTTTGGTGTACGTAACATTTTCAACACTCAAGAAGTTGCGGGTTGATATAGTTGTAAAACAAATTTCTGGCTTCTTTCTTCGGGCAATGCGTACCCCTCTCCTTATAACTTGGGAGCCAGGCAGTGACAGGATGGTAGCGTTTTACATGCCCAACGACTATGCAACAGACGAGATGTACATTTGAAAAGTTTAACCTCATTGGCTGCTGATTACTCCAATCTTGATATCAAATTCATCCGCTCAAAGTCTTAGCTAAATTTGAAATCATAACATCCACGGTCAGCGGACCACACTTTGATGATGAGATAATTTAATTCGGATGTTAGTACACATGGTAGCTTCAAGTCGGTTGGTATCCGCTCAATTGGATTGAATCTGTTTATATTGCCCAGTGATGTATTGCCCAGTGATGCGACGTGATTAATTGCAGGGGCAATCTTTTATCAGAATTGATTGACGAACCTACGATGGGAGCGGCCGAATAGGCATGATTCGCTAAGCTTTGTCTTCGGTGAGTATTTGCCAAAGTCGTGGCCAATCGGACTGCTTGATAATTGGCATTCAAAAGATGTTTGGTCACGGATTATGGGGATTTTAAGCTGCGCTGCTGCTGCAGAGTAGATGTGACAGGACTCACACCCGGTGAGTTGAAAGGTTTTTAAAGTATCATATGTATTATGAATGATTGCATCTGCCAATTCATTCAT